CCCATGCTCCTGCTGGGGGCTAAGGAAATGCTTATCTCCCCAAGTGCGGCCTTCATCAAACCATTCCATCACAGGAATATTTCAAGCGTGGGGATGGCTAGCCCCATAGAGGCCTTGCTGTCTTCAGCTCCAGATCCTTCATCTTCTTGGACTCTTCTTTTTTATTAATGTTTTTTTTAAAACTGTTATGTTTTATGTATTTGTATGTATTTATTGTTTTGATGCTTTGTGTGAGCTGCCCAGAGTCTCCCACTAGGGGGAGATGGGCAGAGAGAAATTTAATAAATAAATAAATAAAGCTCTCTATTGTTTTTTAATATTGCTTATTTTCTGAAGGCAGACAAAAACTATGCAATATTCTGAGGAAAAGTAAAAGCTATGAAAAAAATGTGAAGAAATGGTATCAACTATATATAGCAAACCTCTTGAACATGAACTGCATAGAACATAAAAGGTGCTACTGTTGGCGGACACGGAGAAGTCAAATGACACTGAAAAGCAAATATTAACACAAGCATGGGCTGGCCTCCAAGGTGTGGGACGCCACCTCTGGATTCCTGGATCTGGTTGCCTAGGCATGCCTCATTTGCAAGGACACTGGGAGTATGACCAATTGGGTCCATAAAGTGGCATGGAACTCACAATGAGAGCCATGGAATTGCTGACCATCAGAGTCTGTGAAGTGTCCCTGTCAATGGCACAGTGTGGTTCGGCTGATTATGGAGGTGTGGCGGGATGGGGGGCACAACTGCAAGTTTGTACTGAGTGAGAAGAATATCTCTGGCCTCATAATGGTGGGGAAATGTTTTCCTGTTTTTCAACCATTGTTTTCAGGGGGGTATAGCCTGGAAGCCACAAAAGAGAGGATGGGTGGCCAGTTTGGTCCTAGAATTGAGTTTGCGAATTGCTAATTTACTGCAGATTTTTCAGTTTGGAAATGGTCTCTAATCAGCCCCATTTTTCTCTCTCTTCTCATTTGGATGGTTTAGAGTAAGCGGAGAGCAACCTGCAGTACCAGCACCACAAGTGGCCCCTCAACCTCTCTTTTGCGATCTCTGAGGATTTTTTTCTTAGTTGACCCTTGGAATAATTCCAATTGCCGACAGCCAATGGGATGATTCTTCACATTTTCAGGAATCACATATAAATTAGGGTGTAAACCCTAAAGTCATCTTGATGTCCCCCACCCTCCAAAGTAGCAGGAAGGATTCTGTATATGCCCAGCTCTTGAACTGATAAAATCCTCAGGAGCACAGAATCCTAGGGTGGGAAGAGACGTTGAAGTCCCACACCTGGCCCAGTGCAGGAATCCCCAGACCATTCTGGACAAATGGCTGTCATTTCTGGCTGTCCATGAAAGCTGAATATTTTTATTTTCAATCACTATAGGGAATCCAGGGACCCAAAGGTCAGAAGGGGGAGCCTTTTGCACTGCCTCCAGAATTAGCCATACTGTTCAGGGTAAGTCTCTGTGAACAATTATAATCTGTTAGAAAAGTATGTTTTCCTATTCACTTCACTTAAGTATCTCAGATGTTTCCACATACATGAAAAGACTATAATTTTCCAGAAGCCTACTTTTCAGTTGTTTCAGCTTCTTTTATACTTTATCAAATACAGTCTTGGAGAGGCCATACTGAACATTTCCTATAATATTTTTCCTTAGATTTATTATTTAGCAATCATAAATGAAACAGCCACCTTGTGGCTTTCATTTATTAAACACAGCAAATTTTGGGGTTCAAAGAGAAGCATGTCTGTATACTCTTTGAAGTTGCTGAGTCAAACCAAAGTGTTCATAGACAATGATTCTTCCATTAGGTCTGTGTGTGTGTGTGTGTGTGTGTGTGTACACACAAGGAACTTAGTTTATTTTAGTTACATGTGTACATTTCATTGTATTTATAAAACTTGATTTTTAATTCACTTTTAACTTTCAGATTTTATAAATAATCACAGAGGTTTTTGTAAGAATCAAGACATCTAAAAAGTACTGTCCATGGACATCTGAGAGTTAGTATGAATTATGTTCAAGTTGTCTAAAATAGCATTTTCCATTTTAAATTGTTCTTCTCTAGGGAGACCCTGGTGACCCGGGCTTGACTGGCTTCATAGTAAGTAGCATTGGGATAGATAAATTTTGATAATAAAAATTAGCTATCTGTAAAAAATAAATAAATAAGGGCAATTATTATTTTGAAAAAAAAATCTTTACTTACAGGGACCTCAAGGTGCTCCTGGTCTGGTGGGTGAACCTGGTCTAGAAGGAGACCCAGGTCTTCCTGTAAGTATTATGAAATGCTGAGATTATAACAGTAGTTTGACATTCTTTATTATGGTCAATAACTAGAAAATTTCAATAAAACAAATAGTAAAACAGTAAATACAAAAGTCATCAATAAGACATAAGGCAGACCGATGATAAAGAAATAGAATTAAGCTAAGTCATACATTCTTGACTTGTTCTATAGTCAGTTGAACAAAATTTCACAATATTGAAAAAGATTGTGCTATTCTGATTGGATAATAATTAGTCAAAATAAAATAAATCTGTGTGGCCTAGGAACTTGACTGAAAGAGGCGTTATAAAACATGCTCAACTATCCTTATTAAAAGCACAATATAAAAGAAAGTGAGCTCTATAGTGCCTCCAACATGTATGGACAAAGCTAGCTACATATGGCATTTTCTTAACTTGCTCTTCCACTACTGCTCCAGGTAACATATTAAAATTAATTAATGATAAAGCTCTTCTAAATGTTGGTATTGTAGGTTGATTTAAGTGTTTAACGGGCCTGATGATCTAAAGACGACTTTCTAAAATTGCATCTTGTGGAAGGTAGATGCAGGTCCTTAACCCACTGTCCTAGTGCTAGTTTAGTCTGATCAAAACTCATCTGTAGTAGAATGTCTTGAAAGAAATTATAATAATGCAGCATTTGCTCTCTTTTCCATTTAATGCTAATGAAGTTTGTCCTAACAGGTAGGTGAAAATGCTTAACTATATCCCATACAACACAAAGTACCTGGGGGCTTTTACTAAGAATATTTTTGTAGTTGCAGAGATAAATAATGCACCCTTGGAATGACGATACCCAATTTCTGTGCTCTGTACATTATATAATTCAGAGATGTGCTGCCTGCTAGTGAGTTGAAAATTGACACCCAAATATTTAAAGTTTTTAACCCACTCTATTATGGTCATTCAGTAGACAAGTTTAAGTTTGGCATCTAGCAAAAGTGAAGATCTTGATATTGCTATAATTGAACTCTAGAGCAACTCACTACAATTGAAAGCAGGAGAGAATAACAGTGTTGTTGATGATGGTGGTGTTATTTTACCAGGGTGCCCCAATCCTTGCCAACTCTGAGCAGCTTACAGCGTAAGCCGGGTACCTTATCTATAGGCAGAATTAAAGCAATACAAATAATCAGCATTTACAATAAAGTACCATAAAAAATACTGACAGTTTCAGAAACAGTAGCATATTCATAACAGCATCTCCATGCACCAGGGATGACTAAAACTCAATTAAACCTACACTCCCAACTGTAAGAGGGACTACGTAGTCTCGTACCATTCAAGCCAAACTGGGTTTGGGCCAGTAGAACTATCATCCACATAATGGAATAATGCAGCGTAGCATCAGTTTGAAGGGAGGGCTTCTGTTATTTTGATGTTGTAACAAGTGGTTATTTCGATGTTGTGCCTCACAGATGGCAGCCCCTAGTAACCAGGAGAATATATACCAGTGATGGCGAAGCTATGACACGTGTGTCAAAGGTGACACGCCACAGTGTTTTGGGTGACATGCCAGAGTTCACCAACACCTGACAACAACTATTCTCCCTGTTTGAGTTACCAAAGAAACTGAGTTTGTTTTACTCATGTTTCATTTTTGTAATTATTTTGTGTTTCTTTATATAAAACATAGCACCACATGTGATTGGACTGTATTTTTTTTTTAAATAAATGAATATATAAAGAATTGTTTCTCTTTTATTCAGGGGAGGGTGTGACATGCCAGCAGAAGCAAGTTAGGCATTTTCCAGATTTTTGACACGCCAAGCCCAAAAGGTTCACCATCACTGATATATACTGTAACGTACATGGAACTTGGATGCTCACAAATTTTAACATTTCCTGAATGAAGAACTATTGTTTATTTAAATAAGGTTTAATAAGCTTACAATTTTTATGAATAAAATAATAAAGTACTAAAAATGATACTTATAACTTTTATTTAAAATCCTGTTTTTGAAACTATGTATTCTAGGTAGACTTAATAGGCTGTATGTAAAGTAACTGAAGTTTTTCCATGTATTGACATGAATTGAACACTTCTAAGAGATTACTTGGTTTCCAAAACATTGTTTTTAGGGGCTTCCAGGACCCCCAGGACCCCCAGGACCCATTGTAAGTATTTCTCTTATTTGAGAGCTCATCTTAGATTTTCAATACAAAGGGCTTTTGTAAATGTTTTCTGAGGCGATTCAAAGCTTCCAAAAAGGTTCATTTGTTTGAAAGAGGAACATGAAACATTGTAATTGTTGGGACACGGTGGAATAAGCATTTATATGAAATCAGTTTTGACCATTATTATTTTTGTGAGTTTCAATGCTGGTTCATACAAAATATCTATTTAATATTGCATTAACTTTTCCTCTGAAAATAGAATTTCTGGGTCTGGCCCAGATAACTAGACAAAAGCATAAATAAATAAAGATAATTGTTCCCATTCATTCTTGAGAGTAACATTAATAAGAGCCCTGTCATAAAATTATGTTTGCCCTATAGTTACAAGAACTGAGGCAGGTATGTATTTCTTCACTGACTTTGTACAGCTTCAGACTACTCATTTGGCTGGAAGACTATCCATAGGAGCACAAAGTGGTATGAACAAATTTATAATCAGCAGGAAAGAGTTTGTAGCCCGTATAGGAGCTTAGAATTTATAAGAAGAAATCAAACTGAAAGCGTTGTTGTTGTTGATGATAACTATACATTAAATATTTCATTCTTACTAGTTTTTTGAGAAGGGATTTAACATATTATGGGAAAGAATCCACAAGAATCTGATATAAGTAATAATTGATCTAAGTGTCTAGGACAAGTACTTTAATTGATGTAAAACAAGATTAAAGTACTGATATTACAGAGAAACATGTAGTTTCTGGAATGCCATTTGGTGAAATATGTAATCACTTTGAATGCATAAGTTAAGTGTTCATTAACTGTCATTTCAGGGCAATAGAGGTCTTGGCTTTTATGGAGAAACGGGTGAAAAGGTAAAATGAATTTAATCAATTTGCATTTACTGTGGTGGACACAACTCTGTGCAATCTGTGTAAATTGTTTTTGACGTCAGAGTAAAAAGTATTAGAGTATTAGAAATGCAGAGTCTTTTTTTTAATCCCTATGTTCTTTAAGCCATCTGTTGTCCTCTTCAGATCCTCCAGGTTCCCATGCCTGAGAATCAATATATATTTTAAATGTTCTTCATTTTCACAGGGTTCAAAGAATGTTGTTGTCCAGTGTTGATGAAAATTTCATTTTACCTATTAAGCATATCTTTGTGGCTTTCCTTGAAGGGTGAAATTGGACCTCCTGGTCCACCTGGGCTTCCATCAACAGGAGAGTTAGTCACTTCAACGGATGTAATTCCAGGTGAATACAAGGTAATTAGAAATATTACTGAAAATTACAGAGCATTCATTCGGTTGCAAAATAGAATTGCTCTATCTAGGCTTCCCCACTGTGGCTCTGGTCTCCCTTTTACTACATTGGGTCCCTCCAGTCTTTTCTGTATCTACACCTTTTACCACTATGTTAAAATGCCAACCTTCAACTGCTCCCCCCACAAACTGTGGCAATAATATTTTCTTTTTTTTTTTTTTCTGGGGACCAATAGGAACTTAAAGGGAGGCCTTGTCTTCCATCTGTATCCACGTTCATATTCTCAAGAGCATCTTAAGCCCATTTGGAACCCAGGAACTTTCTGGGAAATAAATACAAGTATCTGAGAAGCTGCCAATCTGTGTTTCTCTGTGAATCATTTCTGGAATCACAGACAACTTAAATATAAAAGTAAAAGAAGTTGTAGATGTCTGTAGGGCACATTACAGATATTGGGAGCATAAGTGTACAGAGCAAACTGGGGTTGCCTTAAATTGACAAACCATACTTGATGATATAATGACCCAAACTGTGCCTTTATGGGCTTGCATTCCAACATTTGGCACTAAGACGTAAGTCATGGATTTTTTACATTTTGCACATTTTTAGCCCATATAGGAGCTTTTGGCCCTCCTTCTCCTCCCATGCACACCTTTGACTGAGAGAACCTCAATCAGCACTTTGCAATGAACCCTCCTATGCTACAAGACATAAAATCAGTCTTCTATTGTGATGAAATAATCAGAATGTCATTCCAGGGCAAGACTGTTGGGAGAAAACAGTAACTCCGCATGAGAACATAAGGTTTACCTTCTTGAATCAGATTAGCTAAACACTGTTATGGCCCAGTTATGTTGCTGATTCCTTTCTTTACTGCAGTATTGGTGTATTCTAAATTATCTCCATATCTTACAGAATGTAACTTGAATGACTGCAGCTTCCTCACAAATTTCATCTTATAACTTGCTGTTTTATTAATAGCGATGCTTTTTTTCCTACCCACCTTCCTGCTTTTTCTTTGTTTTCCACATAAGTTCTGAGTTTAGAGTTAGCCTAAGGTGATTCCTTTATAACTCCAGTTCAACACTCAGAAATTAACATGCAGATTTTTGAGTTCTTCAGAACAATCCATCACAACTACGTGCATTAATTCATGTACATATTGTGTTTCAATACAAATAGCTCAACATTCTAGGAAACAGTATACTGTATATGTGTGATTTATTTTATATGATGTATACATCTACCTTTACTGTTTGTGCCAATCCTAAATGAGAAAAATGGCTAGGAGCCAACAGAACTAATACTGTCTGTTGGGCCTTATTCAAGGGGGCAAGGGTTTATAAAATGCTAGTTCCCAATGTACTATCCTCAGCCTGGTCTAACTTAATGACATTAGGTTGTATCCCTCATCTGGTAGGGCTTCAAATTTAACCTAATGCTTCCTCCCCTGCCCTCCCCTCAACCATTTTTCAGTTCCTTTGTTCATATACCTTTGCCAACTGGGCAATTTTTCTTGCAGATTTCTGTCACTAGATATCTAGGGTTAGCCCACCAGGCATAGAAAGGAGAGAGATTGTGTGGGAAGTAAAATTTGACTCACAAGAGACTATATTTGTAAATAAAGTATTGTGTTAGTTTAGGAGCTGGGTTCTACATTAGAGAAAATAAAATATTCAAGCTAAGCCTGCTATTTCCTCAACTCTCTTTTTTTCAGTCCTTCTGATGAAGAGGAGATATGTTGATAAAATATTACTTTTGATGTAATATCATTACTGGGGAACCAAAGTTGATTTATCACCAAAAATTCTTACACCGATAACTTAAACTGAAGTGTTCCAGCTGCTATAAATTTAGCAGAGAATTATATATATGTATACTTATTTAATATTTCTGCCTTTTTATATTATTAGGGTATAAAAGGAAGAAAAGGAATGATGGGAGAATCTGGATTTCCAGTAAGTCCACAAGAAGCACAATTATTTCTGTGATGAATAACACCCATGCTATTTTCATAGGAAAGAGCCATATCTGGATTCATTGTTATTTCAGTAATAGTGGTGCTTGGCTGATAATATGATAATGTAATATTTTGACTATAACATAGAAACTGGTCATTTGAATTCATTATTTTTTCTTTCAAATTTCAACATATAACTCAGACCATATTAAATTTTTATTTCAGAATTTAGACTATGCTTATAATTCATAACCTGTATGACTCTCTTTTTTTATTATTTCCTAGTGGAAATCCCCATTCCTTGATTTTTCTTAGCAGCTGTAAAGATGCATGACATCTATACAGAAACCAGTGCTTCCCAAATAAAGTATACTGGGAAGAAACTTTTTTTGCACTGTAAGTTGATCTGAATTTTGAGAGCATGTCCTGGGTGGTGTCATAAAATGGCTTCATAGAGGAGCTTATAGATTTATGAAATGGCTGTCATTGTCAGTCAAAAAACCCCCAGGACTACAATATATTGTA